TATTAACCTAAGAACTTATATGCATATATGCATAACCCATGGACACAGACAATAGTGTGGTGAAGGCCTGGGGTGGGGCAGGGTGGAGGGGATCAATGAGGAGGGGAAAAGGGGACATTTTTAATACTTTTAAAACAAAAAATAAATATGCATTTCCTTAATGACCAATAATGTTGAGCATCTTTTATGCACTTTTTGGCTATTTGAATGTTTTCTTTGTTAATATACCTATTGAAATCTCCTGTCCATATTTAAATTGAGCTTTAGTCTCATTATTGAGTTGCAAGGGTTCTTCATGTAGTTGGAATGTAAGTCACTTAGTGGATGCATAATTTGCAAACAATTTCTCCTAGTCTGTGAATTTTTTACTTTCTTGAAGGTGTCTTTTAAATAGAAAAGTGTTTAGTTTTCATGAAGTTCAACTTACCAGTTTTTTCTTGTACTGCCAGTACTTTTGGTGCTGAATCTAAGAAATCTTTCCCAAACCCAGGGTCACAAAGACTTACTCTTCTGTTTTCTTCAAAATCTATTATAGTTTTAGTTTTTACATTTAGGTCTGTGATCCACTTTAAATTTTTTGTAAATGGTGTGTGATATGGGTCTGATTTAATTCTTTTGCATGTAGACATCCAGTTACTGCAGCACTATTTATTGAAAAGCCTGTTATTTCCCCATGAAATTGTCTTGAACATAAATATGTAAATCAATTGAACATAAATATGTTTGTACTCTGAATTCTATTCCACTTATTATGTATGTGTGTATATACACTTTGTGGGACTGTGATGTGTATTATTAAAGAGGAGTTCCTTCTGAGCTTGAATTCCTTAGTTGAACAGAACTATGTATGAATACAAATAATCATTAGAAGGACAGCAGGCTGCTGCTGTGCCTCATCAATAAAACACATTCCTCCCACATCCCCTTATTTTCTTCTTGGACATTTTGCCAGAAGGGCTGGGAGCAAGTGTTTAGGTAAGCAAGTGGGGTTTGCTACCTGCTTCTGAAAGGTCCTGTAGGATGTACTGTTTCTCCAACATTTGTAACATCATGAATGCACATGATTGGAAAAGACTGGGATACACTATGCAGCACCAGCTCTCCTTAGCTGTCTTTGTTGATAGGGAGGCCAATGAGATTAAATAGGCAAGGCCATTTGCACTGTCAAGAGTGGGAGGTTTTCAAGAGGAGGGAAAACTCCCAAACTCTTTTTGTGAGGCCAGAATCATACTAATCCCCAAACCAGATAAGGACACTACAAAGAAAGAAAATTACAGGCCAATATCCCTGATGAACATAGATGCTAAAATCCTCACTAAAATACTAGCAAACCGGATCCAGCAATACATTAAAAAGATCATACATCATGACCAAGTGGGATTTATTCCGGGGATGCAAGGCTGGTACAACATCCACAAATCAATAAGTGTGATACTTAACATGAGCAAAACAAAGGACAAAAATCATATGATCATATCAATAGATGCAGAAAAAGCATTCAACAAGATCCAGCACCCATTTCTGATAAAAACTCTCAGCAAAGTGGG